TGCTGGACACCTCAGGACTCTATCCTCAAAGCCATAAAAGTAGCCTTGGTCACCGCGCACGGCAGCTTCCGAAGCTACTGCGCTCTGAACTGTAATTACGGTTGATGATGTTATTCCTGCATTACCCTAATGACCCTAGACTCTGGGAATTATGGTATAATTATTCCTTAAATGCATGGTTGAAAGTACCTAGAGGGTCATATCCTACCCCTTTTTTAGGGTACCTAGTTTTATAATTGTGTTCTCTGATATAGAAGAGTAGGTAATTGTCCCTTAAGAAAGGGGCAGGGTATGACCCTATAGGTACTGTATATCAAAGGCTCCCTCTTCAGGCAGCTGCAAAGTCATGGACCCTTCTCCTTGCCCTGCCTGCGCTCTAAGATGAAGTACCCAAAGCAGACACCGGAAGCAGTCAGTTCAAAGAGGAGCACGTAAAAAAAATCAAGCAAGGTTTAGGGTCTAGATAGGGCTTGTGGTTTAGGGTAACAAACAAAATGTGTCAATGGCGGAAGTACTTAGAGGCCCAGGGGACTTAGTAAGTACATAGGTCATAAGTAGAGTAATAGGAGGTAACCTGGGTTTAGGGTTTAGGGCCTTAGGGGTTTTAGGGGTTTAGGGTTTAGGGTAGGGTTGTCTCTGCCCTTCAGTGGTAGGCACTAGGGGATTAGATTTGCAGAGGCATTTGTCGGGTGCTTCGTCTTCGATTTGAAGGCGTCCTCAGCCCCGGAGCACCCCGTTTGTATACCACAGGGGCTTAAATCATTACCAAGACTGTTGCCGAGGCACCCTGTTATAAGTATAGTAGAATATTCCCCCGAAAACCTTAGTCTAATTGTGAAGGCCCCTATATTATGTCCTTATAGTAGCCCTCAAAGTTACCCTTATAGACTCCCGTTCACGGAACCAATGAATAAAGCCCCTATGTCATAGAACCCTTATAGTAGCCCTGTAAAGGAACCCCTTTTCCAATTATTCAGGTCCCTTTACTGTAGGTTGATCGAATCCAGCATCCCTGCGTCTGTGCAGGACACGTCGTGATTCGGGGCTGAGTGTCTTGTGAGCGACAGGCTGGAGACGAACTTACAGAAAAGCTTTAGGGGTTTGGGAGTTTAGGGTTTAGCAGTTTGGGCTTTAGGAATTTAGGGTTTAGGAGTGTAGAGGGTTTAGGGTTTCGGAGTTTAGGGTTTAGGGTCTAGAGTTTAGGAGTTTAGGCTAGGGGCCCGAAGCACGAGCGTTGCGCACATAGCAGTTACTTTTGGGGGCTCATATGTAGAATCCTATAAGGTAATCCCAAAAAAGGAACTACTACGGGGCCTACGGGTATTGTACGTCACAAGCCACATGTCCCAACTGAATACCGGGCCTGCCAGAGATGAAGGACACTATTTCGGCCAGCATACAAAAGACTTTCAATTCCAAATCAGCGCTCGTGCTCCAAGTGCCGACCAGTCCCATAATTACGCCGGGCACTGCCAAGACGAAGCCAAGGTTGAATGTTGTTGCATGCACATATACGACCGTTGTCATCATGTCTGCTTTTCAGTATCATGGCGCTCCCAACATGAAATCGCGACGATTACATCTGATCACCTTGGTCAGCACTGGTTTTTGGTTTTACGTACAACCTAGATTGAAGGGCATGTGTTTGAATGCAGGGCTTTGATAGGCCTTTAGGGCCACTTTAGGGTTGAAAGCAGTTCGTTCTGTGCCGTTTCCATCCGCAATCCCGGACTCGAGGCGGCGTGAGCCGCGAGCCTGCTCTGTCAATGCCGAAACCCAGAGAGCCCAATACCCCTTAATTAAGAAATATGGCTTAAATTATATAGGGCTTCATATTATGATTTAAGCTATATTCCTTAATTAAGGGGTATTGGGCTCTCTGGGAAGCTCTGAAGGGACGTTCAGAGCTTCGGGTTTGAATTTTTGCCATGCCGGGGTCCGAAGCATCCAGTAAATACATTGCATTTGTTCTATTGGGTTCCTTATCCCTACAGAGTGGGATCCTTCAATGCCGTTTAAGTTCTGCAGCAAGCCCTGGTAAAGCCCTGATTAAGCTATGGTACAGCCTCAAAGCATGCTCGTAAACCCTTCCGAATATGTGCCGAAGAAAAGTCAAGTGAAACAAGCATTGTAGACTTTGAGGGGTGTCGTCTTATCATGAGACCTAGTAGCAGAGTAGGTAACCTTTAACCTTTTTGGGTAGTATAGTCCCTATGAAATCCCTATATAACCAGAAAAGTTAACCTTTAGTTCCCCATGATACCCGACAAGTAGGGAGATGTCCTCAGGAGCCTTCGGAATGTACCAAACATCGGAGATTTTCGGTCTGTTCGCCCCGTCGGGCGACACGGGCCAAGAAATGACCAGTGCGGGGATGGCTCACCAAGGAAGGGCCATAGAGTGTCCTGTAAGGTTGCAGAGAGACTCTACAACGGGTCTGAGTCAAAATCGGTTCTAATTATAGGGGTGGTGCTAACAAGGGTTAGGGATCCATTCGGGTTGCATGAGGGTTCCATAAAAGGTTTAGGGTTTTTTGTTCAAGATGCTGCTGAGGGTACAGCGCTCGTTTTTCAGGGGCATATGGTTCAGTAGTAGTATTAGTATTTTAATAATCATTATTAATATTTTTATTAGTAGTAGTAGTAGAAGTAGTGCAACTACTACTGCTACTACCACTACCACCGCTACGGCCACCACCACCACCACCACCACCACCACCACCACCACCACCACCACCACCACCACCACCACCACCACCACCACCACCACCACCACCACCACCACCACCACCACCACCACTACCACTACCACTGTCACTACCACTGCGACTACAACAGCAACTACTACTACTTCTGGTGCTGGTACTGATTGTTCTACCAGGATTCTACCACTGCCAGTCACTACCACAAGTATTATCATCGCCATTGCTGCAGTTTTGCTATTGCCGCCATCGGAACTGGTGTTTTCGTGTTGATGTTGGCCGTGGCTTATCGCCACCCTCAACGAATACCGGGTTCGATCGCCGCGTAGTTCGGCCGCTGGCCTAGGCTTCAGGGCTATGCACCAGGAAGTGTCAGACAAATCCGACGAAAACACTGAGAGGCCGAGCAGAAGCCTCACCGCACAGTAGCAGCGGCCCGTTTGTATATAGACAGGTTCTACAGTTCTACAGCACAGCCTTGTCATGCCGCACTTGGATACAAAGAGAAGCATCCAGCCTTCAAGCAAAGTTGTCGTAAATCCCGGTAAACGGAACTACACATAGGCTTTGTGTGACACCCTACATTTTCGGAGCCTAGGAAGGTTGCTGTCCGTGGATTGATGCGCCCATGTACACACCGCATGCATGGCTTGGTGCAGGGATGAACACATGTTTTCTGCTTGTTCGACAACTGATGTATCCATACCCTTCACCCTGCTCGCTGATCTTGAAGCCTGAAATCTAACCCCAAACTTTATCCACTTCTACAAATTTTTGTTGTGGAGTGACCACATAGTGTATGGCCTCGCTGGTATGAGTTTTGCAAGAAATGCCTGGTAGAGAGGCGCGGATGCTGGGTGAGGCATGATTGTCGTGGCACATCGGTCGGTCGGTCTGTTTGTGAGTCCATCTGTCTGACATTGTGCTGCATGTATGTCGCCTGCAAGCATAGATACCTGTACGCCGTGGAGACCGATCCCTCTGCCGTGCATCCATCGAAGGTCCAGAAATTTGTACGAGCGTATGGTGCATACACGGACATGCTGACATGCATACAGAACGCACGCATTTACATCGACAAGCCCGCTGGAGAGAGTGGTAAAGAGCATGAAAAAGACTTAGTCAATGTTCTGGATCTTTTCATTCTTGTTGTGGCGTGGCTTTCCTCCATCACTTGAAGTGTCCCTTTTCTCTCCTTCCAAAGGACCAAGATAAAGACCAGCTACACCTCTTGGCTTTGGCGTGTGAAGTTCATCGCGTTTCTAGAGCAGCAGAGTGTTAGGTGCATACGGTTTAGGATTTAGGATTTAGGGAATATTACTATTAGTACCTTTTGCAATTATTACTATTGTTACTGTTACTATTTCTATAATTATTTCTGTAATGAGGTCTAGGTTCCTCTGAACGACCTGCATCTTGGGCCGTCTGAACGACTTGCTCCAGCTTATCCACCGCGTTACCGAGATCGTATGCACCATGTAGGTGCCTATGTGTATATTTTATCAACACACATATGTATGTGTGTGTATATGTATGTATATTTATGCATACATATATATATATATATATATATATATATATATATATATACATACACCCATATGTATATATATATATATATATATATATTCATTTACATCATTATATATATATGTACTTACCTATCCACCTATCTACCGATCTATCTATATCTAAAAGCTGGAGGCCACACACAGTGATTTGCCTTGCGCTTACCGGCTCAAAGTTCCGACACCACACGTTTCGAGTACTAGCACCTCGACAGGAACCATTCCAGACCTGAGCTGCCCTATCATTATTATCAGTATCATAAACTAGGGTTTAGGGTTTAGGGTTTGGTCATTGTTACTATGGTATTTTTTGCTATTGGGCTATTGCTACTGCTTTTTATGCTTTTACTATATATAAGGTTACCACAGTTTTTCTACTTGCAATTTATAACAAAAAGGTAGCGCTTGGGGTGCAAGGTATCCTGTTCTTTCAAGGCCACCCTGCTTGGACTGCACCGCAGTCACCTGAAGCGTATCATAGACCTTACTATGCAAACTTCAACCTGGCCATCCCAGTCTCTGGCAGAGCCACGGTTTAGGGTTCAGGGTTTAGGGTTTAGGATCCTACACCCTGGACTCTCAACCCACGACAAAGAATCAGCACCGTGACGAAGGTTCAAAGTTCAAACTAGCCCAGAAAGCCCGTATGGTCGTAGCTTTTCAATTGTGAGCCCTTGGTGCTTTAGGGGAAGGGAAGTTCCGAAGCTCAAGAAGCACTCCTCCCCGTGGACATGTCCGGCCCACATGACCAGCCCAAGCAGATCGAGGTGCCCCACGGAGGTTAAGAGTTTAGGGGTTTAGGGGTTTTGGGGTTTAGGGTTTAGGGGGTCAGGGGTTTTGGGGCCCTTTAGGGGTATAGGGTTTAGGGGTGTAGGGGTACAGGGTTTGGGGCTTAGGGGGTTTAGGGTTTGGAGTTTAGGTTGCAGGGTGTAGAGTTCAGGATAATTATAGGGTCTTGGGGTCAGGGTTTAGGGTTTAGGAGTTCCAAGGTAAGGATGCACTCACTGGCTTCTAAGCAACATGAAGCCCCAATCAATTCTCTTGTAAAGGGAAGCAGACCTGCTGTCGTTTTTTATGCTGAAATTTCATCATAGGAGGCCAAAAGGGGTTTTGGCCTATGGGGGTTTAGTAGGGATTAGGGTTCCCATAATAGGGCTCGTATTAAGGAATCCCTAGCCCAAGAATCTTAAACCACCCGTTTGGCCTCCCGCCAGTTCAGACTTAAGTCCGAAACCCTAAAGCCGCAAGCCCAGAAACAAATCCTTCGACCGTAAGCCCAAAATCCTCAACCCTCTACTCTACTGTAAACCTTGCGGTGCAAGGGCACGCTCTTGGTCGTCGGAGCAGCATGCGTTTTCGCCCTGGTCGCGCTGGTGGTCAAGAAGGCATTGGGCCTTGATGGTGTTGGTTGCTTTATAGAGTTTGGGTGTCACACGCTCTCAGAGTCTTTTGCAGGGCTGCCGAGGTTATTGCTTTACCCGGGTAGAGAGTTTATGGGTCTAGGGTTAGTCCTTGGGATGCATGTCGATTGCGCAGTGAGCTGGGTTTTACTAGCGAACTTTTCCAAGAGCTCTTACACGGTAGGATCATGTGATGCTGATGTTGATGATGAAGAAGATTGTGACCAGATCATGACACTTCGACGAAGGTGTCTGGTTGATGATTTTGGCGTCGCAAGGTGTGTCAAGCAGTATCCGCCGACTGTAACTACGTACGTCCATGCGGGCTCAAGCCCTTATCCATGTTCCAGCTGGGGCTTGCCAGTCCGGCAACTTGAATCTAAGATTGGCAACACAAAATCCTTAGTCTTTGTTGAAAGCGCTTCCTTTGATATTTATCTCGCTATTCTTACAGAGTGTATGTATGTATTTTTTTTTGATGGTTGGTTGGTTGGCCGGTTGGTTGGCCGGTTGGTTGGTTGGTTGGTTGGTTGGTTGGTTGGTTGGTTAGCTGGGTGGTTGGTTGGTTGGCTGGGTGGTTGGTTGGTTGGTTGGTGGGTTGGTTGGTGGCTGGCTGGGGTGGTTGGTTGGTAGGCCGGTTGGTTGATTAGTTGTGTGTGTGTGTGTGCATGCGTGTATACAATGCATGTTTGCATGTTTACACACATGTATGTATACATGTATGTATGACCGTTTGTCTGTGTGCTTGTTTGCTTGTTTGGTTGGTTGCTCCTTCGTTTGTTTGTTTGTGTTTGTGTGTGTGTGTGTGTGTGTTTGTGTATGTGCTTGCTTATTGGCTTGTCTGTGTGTGTGTGTGTGCTAGCGTGCGTGCGTGTTTGCTTGCTTTCTTGCTGGTTTGCTTGCTCGTTGGCAATCCAACAGTATACATACGTACACGCATATACTCATAGTCACTCACTTGCATGCACGCATGCATGCATACAGATGTGTATACATATATATACATATATATATATATATATATACATATATATACATATATATATATATATATATATATCTATATACATATACATATACAGTCATATACACATACAAAAGCATATACATGTACGTCTACATGCTGGTACGCATGTACGCACATACATAGCACAAACAGATACGTATACATGCACATACCTGCATGTGCTTGCATACATGCATACGTCTGCATACATCTACACACACGCATGCGTAAGGCAAAGCAGCGGTTTACCTGTACCCAGATTTGTTTATTCTTCTAGTTCGGCAATCTATCGCTCTGTCTACCTGTCTATGCAATCTCCAACTGTCTATTCAACGGTTTGTCTAGTCTATCTATCCGCCTATCCATCCATCGGTCTAGCTTCCTACCAACATACCCATGAATTTTGACAGCAGTGAAGCACCCCAAAACAACCCATGCCTCAAGCTAGGGTCCATTAGGACCCGATGCCAGTTCTGCTTGCGACGGCCTGCCGGACAGCACTTAGACATTTCGTTGTCAGGCCTGGTTTCAAGATTGGGGTTTAGGGCTTAGGGCATGAACCCAACGTCCGTGCATGACGCGGCCGGGCTGTTATATCTCAGAGATGTTGGCATCGCGAGCACTGAGTTTTTGGGGGACTTAGCATCTGCATCAGGTCAGGATCACATATTCGATCCTGCGTAGCCTACCCCTAGGCCTCATAATAGTTCCTTTTTGGGGTTACTTTATAAGATTCTACATATGAACCCGAAAAGGAACCACCATGGGGCTTATGGGTAAACCAGCATAACCGTGAGTGGATCCAGCGTAGACCCTTGTAGGAACATCTTGCGGGGGGGCTGGAACAGATTTTTGGGAGCCTCGCACATGTTTCGGAGGCCTCAAAAGGTGGGATGAAGGTAGGTGGGATATTCCCAAATAAGAGTCCTTATATAAGGGATCCTTACTCCTACCTACCTTCATCCCACCCTTTGAGGCCTCCGAATGTTGAGTGAAGCAATCGGGATCTAGATGAAGTAGCTCCTAGACAAGGTGTAGGGTGTTGTCTTCCGTGTATAATATACACATCGATATCTACATCTATATCTAGCTGCATCTCTGTATCGCTATATCTCTATATCTCTGTACTCTATACATCTATATATATATATATATATATATATATATATATATCTATATATATATATATAGATGTGCATATCTATGTATCTTTATTTCTGTATATATCTATATCTATATATATATATATATACATCTATATATCTATATAACTATTCTCTACATGTATATATGTCTATGTGTGTACATATCTATATGTCTATGTCTATATATATATAGAGAGAGAGAGAGTCTTTATATCTACATATCTGTATATATGTATATATTTCTACAGCTATTTGTCTCTAGAGAGAGATAGATAGGTAGACAGACAGATAGACAGATTGATAGCTTGATCGGTAGGTAGGAAGATAAATAGAGCCTTCAGGAAACTCGAAGCTTCTGGACGACAACTGACCAGAAATCCTGAAGCCGCAAACCCTGAAACCCTAAACCACCCTAAACCCTAAACCCTAAACCCTAAACCGACGAGCTCGCGCCACGAAGCCCTGAACCGTTCCCGCTTCAACCCTGGCTTAAAGCGTGAATCCGAAACCCCTGTATGCCAAAGCTATGCGCTACGCCCAACCTGAACCTGAAGTTTAAACCCTGGGCATCAAAATAGCCCAAAAGCCTTATATAGTATGGTCTCTGGGCCCTAAGGCCTTAATATGTGAGTCCTTAGATGCCTAGGGTAAACCCTTGCGCCGAAACCAAGTCTTTTTCGCCCTGGAAATGTTCGGCACCAAAACATACACCAACTCCTAAACCCTGGACCCTAATCTCCAAATCCTGAGCCCTAAACCTTAAACCCCAAACCCTCCCAGAAGACATACCGAGGAGTTCCGATTCCTTGTGAGCTGGGTAGTTGCAGCAGCTTGCCTCAAGCCAAGTCTCTTAGTGTTAGGATTTGGGATTAGATTTTAGGGTCAAAGTCGAGGTTCCTGGGTTAAGGGGTTTAAACTGTTGGGTTAAAGGGTTCAGGGTTCCAATAGCGTTTTGGTGTAGAGGCTGCCAGGAATCTGGAGGCGCAGTGGTTTTGGGTAATCTGCTTTCTCCCCCCTACCAAGCTAGTACTGCGCGGTTTAAGATGGAGTTTGAGTGGGCACTTTCACAATATCAACGATACTCTCGGAAAGTAACATGAGGGGTCGGATTAAGTAGTGCCAGCGTCCCCTTACAGTCCCTTATATCACCGCACTTGAAGTATATCCCAACGTTCATTTGTAACCAGTCAGGCACCCAGCTTATCCCTCTCTGGCGGTCCAACTTTTTTTGAACTTGTCAAACCCTCCAATGGCGCTAAGGGGTACTACTATTTGCTTAAGAACCACCAAAAAATAAAAAATATATTCCTTATGGGGGTAATATAGGGATTATTATTTTTATTTTTTTGGGTGGTTTCTTAAGCAAATAGTAGGGTATAGTGTGTGTTGGGTTCAGGTTGACTCAGGCCCCCTACTTGGAGGTTCAGGGGTAGTTATAAGTATAGTTATAAGTCCCCTAATACGAGTTATAAGTATAGTTACCCTACTTATAACCCTACTTATAGCTACCCATGAACCTCCAAGTACCCCCTCCCTTACCCTCGAATATTGGAAGTCTTAGGCAAATCGAGGTCCACAGAATCCTGAACCTAGGACCCAGAGTAGGCCCTTATTCCCTTCTTTAGGGTGTAGGTTCCCGTAGAAGCACCTTAATGCCCCAGGACCCAGAGTAGGCCCTTATTCCCTTTTCAAGGGTTCAGGCTCCCTTATAAGCCCCTTTATATCAACAACGGCACCCTTTTTTAAGTTTATAGGAATCCCTGTTTTAGGGTTTAGGCTCCCTTATAACAACCACCTTTTTGCCCAAAAGGGGGCCTAGGAATCCAATACCTTGTACCTACGAAACCTGAAGCTTCGATCTCCCATCCCAGTTGCTTAACTAGGGTTTAGGGTTTAGAGTAGTACCCTTATTCCCTTTTTGTAGTCCTAGGTTCCTTATAAAGTTACCCAATACGAAAAAGAGAGGCCTTTTTATTCTTAGGTTACTGGGTATCCTAGTTAAGCCACTTAAGGTTTAGGGTCTAGGGTTTAGGGGTGTAGGGTTTGGGGTTTGGGGGTTTAGGATTTGGGGTTTATGGTTTATAGGGTTTAGGTTTTCGGGTTTAGGGGTTTAGGTTTCAGGTTTTCGGGTTTAGGGTTTAGGTTCTGGGGTTGTGGGGTTTAGGGTTTAGCCTGAAAGATGCATATGTACTGAATGCATATGTGCATGTGTGTATATATATATATATACAGTTATATACAGATATCGTAAACCTCGTAGACTTTGCCTACAGACTCTCAACACTACTTAGGAACCTCTTCTTTTGAGGACACTTAAATGACAGTGCACCCCGGGTTTTGTTGCAGAAGCAGCATTGCCGCCCTCAGAGGTCGCTTTCATGCTGCTGTACCGGCGAGAGCGTGGTCTCTACTGGTTTGGCCCTCCTTCATCGCGTAAGCCACTGGGACTGGATTCAAGGTCTTAGGGGGTCGCGGGGGTTATGGGGCTGAGGGTTTATCCCGAGGGGGCGGAACGACACCCGAAAGCCGAATCTAGGGGGCTGGAAGTCAGAACGTCCCCTTTTAGCCCATATACAATTACATTGTAAGCAGGCGCCAGTTGATTGACATTATTAAGGCCCATTCTTAAATTATGCAGTCCACGCCTCAATCGGTTTGACGGCATGAACCCTGAACGCCAAGTGCACCCCTCAACCATACACCTAAATATACCCTGAAGTCTCAAACCCTGAACGCCAGGTGGTTGGTGCTGAAATGTGCCTCTTCCTTCTTCTTCATCAACCTGTGGTGGAAAGGCTGTGGCTGTGGATTACCATATACAGGGTGCAGGGATGTGCAGGGTTTATGTAGGGTTTAGGGTTATGTAAGGATCTCATACACAGATCGGTTTACATGTTTAGCCGAGGGCCTGGGGCTCCGGAGTTGTCCGAAGGTGCCATTACAGCTTGTATCATGGAAGATTTAGTTCGAGCTGTAATGAGCGGAGCAAACACCATCAACGGCAGAATATGTAGCACCACTTTCCTTAGAGTCCAACCCCTGATGAATCAAACTTAAGAACATTTATCCTGATTCCTAAATCAACATTGAAGCCATACGCAGACGGACAGAAGCCAACGCCGTTTGTTGGACAAGTAGAGATGGTCAAAAAGTATAAAAGATTGTCTCAAGTTCTTTTCTTCGTAGCTGAGTGGATACACTTTACACTTTGTGGGATAATATTACCCCCTCTAACACTAAAAGTGCACACTTTTGGGGGCTTGTCAACTCAGCAACTAGGTCTTGGTAGCATGTCAACAGCATACTCGTCGCTTTTCTGGTCAGTATCGGGAGCCCATTTGTAGTCTCATTCTTACTCACAAGAACTGTGACAAGTTCAATTGTCGTGTTCACAGCATCAGCACACTTGTGGTAAGGGCAACCATGTCAGGTCTAGATATGCATGCGGGCGACAGACCTTTAGCCCTGAACGATCCTGAAGCTTCAAAGCGTGAGTTGGCAGGTATCCAGCTGGCACCCGTAGGCGACTGCATCGCCATCATCTACACTTCACCTATCTTTACGTCCATCCTCTCATGCGACTTGGTTTGGAGCTTCGGTTGTCAGGTTTGGGATGTCTTGTGAAGATATTACCCTTAGTCTAGACTTAAGAGACATGCAGACATAGATAGAAATCCAGCTTGAGAGAAAGATATAGGTACAGATACAGATGAAGATTGAGATGCAGATGTAACTATAGATGTAGCTTTAGAGGCGGATGAAAAGGTAGATAAAGCTGCATATACAGATAGTATATAGATACAGTTATAGATATAGATACAGATGTAAGTTAAGGATAAAGCTGTAGTTCTAGGTATAGATCTCGATGTAGATATTGGTGCTGACAGTGATACTGCTACCGATACTGATATTCATATTCATATTGATATGGTTGTTGATCTGGATACACATGTGATTACGGAAACAGGTACAGATATTGTTACTAGTGCTGTCACCCTTCAAGTAAGCACGTGCTCCCCCATTTTGTTTAGTCAGTATCTGTTCGGTATGGTCATCATATCACCATCAACATTACTACCAGGATAATCAACAGTATTACGACTAGTGGTGTTAGTATTGTTGCCATTGCTATGTCCATAGCCACAGGAGCAAGAAGACAGAAGAATAAGGAGACGAAGAATGGTAAGAGCAGGTGGTTTAGGGTTTAGCATGTCGGTGAGACCCGAAGCGAAAGGGACATGCATGCTCACGCAGAGAAGAAGAGGCAGATAGGTAGGATAGGGAATCAATCGGTCTTCCTAGGCCCCGAAGCGCCGAACCCCATGTCCCAAAGCACAATCCGAAGCCCTGAAGTCATGAAGAGACCCATCTAATCTAGCTCACCAGCACCCGAACCCCTAAACCCAAACCTTATAAGCCCTAAACCCATCTGGAGCAAGGATCGCTGCGTCTGTCTCGCCTGGATCGTCCGACGACTGCTTCATAAACCCCTAAACCCCTAAACCCCAAACCCTATAAAGCCTATAAGCCCTAAACCGTAAGCCCAGCTTGCCTGTTGACGCCCAGGGCTGCTGCTGAAAGAGCCGCTGCTGCCCCAGTTTCCCCTTCAGCGCCTTGGCCCGTCGGCTTAGGGTTGATAGGGTTTAGGGCCAGGGTTTTTTTGGGTTTAGGGTTTATAGGGTTTAGTTTCTTTTTGTTTAGGGTTTATAGGGTTTAGGGTTTATAGGGTTTAGGATTTATAGCGTTTAGGATTTATAGGGTTTAGGGTTTATAGGGTTTAGGGTTTAGGGTGTAGGATTTATAGGATTTAGGTCTTAGGGTTTAGGGTTTCATGGGTAGTTATAAGTAGGGTTATCAGTAGGGTGACTATACGTATGACCCATGTTACGGGGCTTGTAACCCTTCTTATAGCTACCCCTGAACCTCCAAGTAGGGTAGTTTAAGGTCGAAGGTTTCGGGCTTAGACGGAGTTTGCTTTGGTGGTTGACTACTATTTGCTTAAGAACCTCCAAAAAATAAAAAATATATTCCTTATGGGGGTAATATAGGGATTATTATTTTTATTTTTTGGGGGTTTCTGAAGCAAATAGTAGTTGAGTTGAGAGTTTCAGGCTTGCACAAATTCGAGGCTTCGTGGGGCTCCAGTTTTCCGTTTAAGGTTCATAGACTAGTAGGTTCAGACTTCCCCAAGTCATGATAGTAATTCCTAGTATTTCAGACGTCCCCAAATCGTGATAGTAATTCCTAGTATACATGCTGCTAATACTATATAGGCTCTTTTGGACCCCTTCGGTACTGCACCTCTAGAGCCCGAAACACCCGGAAGCCCGCGACGACCAAACCGTGAGCTGAAAAAACCCGGATCAGACGAGGGTTCCTTTGGAGCACATATTGCTATAGGGTCACCTTTAAAAGGGATCCATAAGGGTTCTATAAAAGGGATCTGTAAGGGTTCCTTTAAAGGGATCTATAAGGGTTCTATTTAGGGCTTAGGGTTTCCGATAATTAGGGGTACCTTAAATTTGGGGGGTCCCTGTAATAAGGATCCTACTATTTAAGGTACCATATTTGGGTCCCCTATTTTCGGAAACTCCCGTATTACTATAGTGGAAAGGGGGCCGCAAGGTGAATTTGTCCCCAAATCTTCAAACATGTAAAAAACTAAAGCCCTCAATTACAGCCTCAAACCCCTGAAGCCCTAAACCACTAAGCCTAACCCTAATCCCTAAACCTCAAACCGCAATCCCGAAACCCTCAACTTTTCCAGGATTCTGCTGGTGCTGCTGGGCACGCTGCTTGTGTTGGATCCTCCCGCGCTTCGTTGGCTTCTTCCGTGCCATGCCTGGTCGGTTTAGGATTTATAAGGGGGTTTCCGAAAATTAGGGATACCTTCTTTTGGGATCCTTATATTAAGGATCCTACTATTTAGAGTACTATATTAGGGTCCCCTATTTTCGTAAACTCCCAATAAGGCTTTAGGACTTGGGGTTTTAGGATTTGGGTTTCTTTGGGTTTGCGTTTTTAGGATTTAAAGGTTTAGGACTTGGGTTTGTTAGGATTTGGGGCGTATGGTTTAGGCTTTATGGTTTAGGGTTTTAAGGTTCGTTTTTTTTGGGTTTGGGTTCAATGGCTTAGTTTAAGGTTCACGGTTTTGGGTTTAGGGTTTTAGGGTTTGTGTTTTGGTGGATTGGGGTCTTCTGGTTTAGGCCTTAAGGTTCAGGGCCAGGGTTTAGGGTTGTCTTGGGTTTGGGGTTTAGGATCTTTGGCTTAGAGATCAGAACGAGCGGCATGATGTTTCAACGAGTGGGGCCTTAGATACCTAGACCTATTCAGGGCCCTGCGGGTTGTTGAGCGAACTGGGTATACGAACCATGAGAAACTCAACATAAGGATGCTATTCTAAACCTCCGCCTCTTGTAGGAAAAGAAGGCTAGGCGTTAGGGCGAGTGTGTGAAATCCCCTACGCGCTCAAGACCGCGCAACGGCGGGCGCAAGGACTCCCGGCACCCAGGCATGGCTAGCAACATCCAATGCCCTAGTCATTCTATCATCTACACCCAAAGCCCCTTTCCAGCTATTCAGCCCCTGTACTTTGTTTATTGTAAGGCTTTGGGGGGGTACTTGGAGAAAGGCAACTCCAGAGGTCGGAGACGGGAATTCACGAAGACTTCACTACCCCTCACCCCCCTCCGCCTCGCCCCGGAGCTTGGATTTTCACCTGATGCACCCTTTTTCGTGGCATGCCCCTGAGTGTCAAGCCCTTAAGCGCCAAGCCAGAAATATTCAAACTCCCAAACTCTCAAGCCCTAAACGCTTTAAGGCCAAAAGCTCGAAATCTAAAGTCAAGAGCAACAGTGGTTTGGAGTTTAGGGCCGTTGAGGGGTTAGGGGTTCGGGGTTAAGGGTGTAGTGGTGCAGTGCTTCAGTGGGGCTCAAAGTCCTCCAGACAGAGACTAACTGATTTAATGTAGGGTAGGGGCATTAGAATTAAGGTTTTGGGGGCTCCTCATTACAAGTACAATACAATGTAGCCCCCCCAAACCCTATTCTAATTATTAAGGCCCCTACGTTACCATGAGGCTAAACCCCCTTCCCTTCTTAAAATAGCAGCCAGGATTCAATCCCTCCAACCCTCCCCCTTACCATATTTCCCTCCTGGAGCCCTCAACCCCATATAAGACCCTTAAGCGTGTTGAAAACAGGTCCGGCGGGATGGAGGAAGAGAAGCCAAGAGACTACACGCATCTTCACCTTGGTGTTGTTTTGCAGGTCCTTCTTGTCTTTGGATTGTCTTAAGGTAGAAGCCAGAAAGTTGGAACACGGCTTTCGGAGGATTCGTGCTAGGATCCGTTATACCTCATGGGCATGAGGATAATGATGTTCCAACTTTTTTCGGGCTTCTACTTTAACGGGTTCTGGCAATGTTCTAAAAGCATTTAGGTTTGGCTTATCAGGGCTTCTCCATAGTGCAGGCTTGAGGGTTCGAGGTCCAGGCTGTAGTTGCAGGGCACATGGCAGTTTAAGGTTTTGGCATCGGGGTTCGTTCGAGACTGACGCCCAAAAGACGTTCCGTCTACCCTAGCAGCCACTTACCCTTACGGTCCATGTGCCCATATGGTTATAGTTGTGTGGGTTCTCTTAGAGCGTGCGATACACCCTTCGGCTAATGTCAGGTCTTCTAGCAATACGACTATAGGGCTCCGCATCTCAAACGCATCCTTATAAAGGACTCCTTAACAGGACCGGTTCCTGAACAGAACCCTGTAAAGGACCCTGAACAGAGCCGTGAAAGACACCCTTAACATCAAACTTGTTGGGCCCGATAAGATCGCATAAAAACTCTGTAGAATCTGATTAAACTCTACACCCGAAACCCCACAAACCCTGAACCCTAAGCCAAATAAACCCAAAGCCCCGAACCCGGTAAACCGCAAACCCCCAAACAAGGAACCCCCCCATAAACTCCAAAAGCACTAAACCCCAAAGACCCAGGTACGTTTTCCTAGCCCTGGCTGTCGGGTGCATCTGCCCCATCGTCACGCGGCAGACGCGCGAATGCAGCTGGATCGAGGCTTTTTGTTGGCGCGTGGGGCGGTTTAGTATGATTGTTGTTTCTCTCGTCAGGGTTTCTTCAGTGTTTCCAAATGGGCTATCGTGGGGCGGTTTAGTATGGTTGTTGTTTCTCTTATCAGGGCTTCTTCATGGTTTCCAAAAGGCTGACTAAAGGCTGCCAGCAGAGTTTTGTGAGGTGCAAAAGGCTTCTATGAGGGATTTTTACCCGGGTTTAGGGCGATTTACCAGGTAAGGGTATCAAGGGTTCCATAGAGTTATGTAGGGAGCTTGGTCTTTTTGTTTGGGTTGAGGGGTTGTCTTTTTTGTTTTGCGTTTGGGGCTTCAGGTCTAGGATGTAGGTTCAGGCGTAAGATGTGCGATGAATGCTCTGAGAGCTGCGTGTCTGGCAGGCATCAGGCGGAGCATCGCATTCATGTATGTGGGAGTTTTCGAAACTCAGGAGAGCTTAATAATCCGAAATGAATTCTGTAGTCAAATATGATGCTGTTTCCATGTAACTGCGATAAAAACAGGCACTGTGTGCGCCGCAATACCATTACTTGTGTCCTTTTTTCAGTTGCCTGGGTTCACGTGTGATGTGGCCCCATCTTTTCGAGCATCCTGGCCCTCAGAGGATCATCCGATGCCCCCCTTAACCCCAAACTTTAAACCGCAGGTGGAGCACGTCAGTGCCGCACTCGCTGCCGGAGTGCTGTGCCCGGCGATGCTTCTTGTGCACCTGGGACTTGGCTAGGCCTCGCAAACGTAGACCACGGCCATTGCAGCAAGGGCGGTGCCGGTGGGGATGGCTATGAAGAAGAAGGTTATTGATTGGTTTTCGATTTATTCGAAAGACTTCTTCATTTTTTCTATCATCTCCTTTACCCTAAGGGTCCAAGTAGTCCATATTTATGGCTTTTGGTACCCAAAAAAGTCCGAAAGTCCTACAATAGGGAGTACTTGGACCCTCTGGGTTACTATCTAGCATCTAGTTACCCAGACGCTCCTCAGAAAGTACCATTATGGAATTAGGTCCCAAAAGACCATCCATATCATGGCTTTGGGGACCTAATTCCATAATGGTACTATATTTGGAGCCTCTAGGTTATTCTCTTTCTACAGCTGGTGATGATGATGGTGAACGAACCCTCGAGGCAGGGGATCTTCGAGCCACCAGGACCACCGGCTAGGTTTAGGGTTTAGGGTTTAGGGGTTTAGGGGTTTTGAATACAGGATTCTGGTTTAGGGTTTCGGGTTTGGGATTTAGGGTTGAGGGATTCAGGAAAATCAAGCCAACACCATACCTATGGTCTCCATTGTAGTAGTTCCTTTTTTGGTTAACAAGTTTTAAGGTTTGGATCCATTAATGCTAATTTTGGGTAGCCAGAGAAGGAACTACAATGGAGATTATTTCTGCCACTGTTACTACTACTGTTGCTGTTTCTGGTGACCAGGGAAGCCTCTATACTCCGCCAGAGCTGTAGTTCCTGTGCACTCCTTAAGTCTAGGGTTTTGGAACATCCGGGGGCAGAGGATTCCTCCGAGGAACAGTTGGCTGTCGGGAGTCTTTCCTCACATCCCGACAGCTTCAAGAGGATCCTTGTCGGCAACGGGTTTAGGATCCAGGGCTTAGGATTTAGGATGGCAGCAAGAACTGACTTGGCGGTTTGGGGTTCAGGGTGTTTGTGGCATCTAGACCCTGCTGGGAGGGATTTAGGGTTTAGAGGTGCTTGTGCATGGTTCGTTTCATGTCTGGTCTCTCTTGGATTGTCCATCACAGTCATGCATGAAGAGCCTTACCTGAAAACGTGCGACTGTCGAGCTTCAAGCAGACCCAAAATAAGCGTCGACGACTCAACGAACATAAGGCAAACTCGTGGGACCTACTCCAAGTAATGGTATGACTCACGACCTTACATAAGAAGTTCATGTGCGGTATAGGAATATAGAGGTTGCAATGCAATATTCTCTCTGGCTGTCCGACATGTAGTTAGGGTAAATTAAAACCTACACATCCCCCAAAGACCTTCGTGGTCACTGACCAAAATCATATCCATATATGAAACAAAAAAACGAAAAAAGATTAACTCAGTAATTCGCCATAAACAAGGAGCCCTATTCCGTATTAAAGCTCACTCCATGCCTCAAATTCTATCAACCCTAAACCCTAAGCCGTGGCAGAACTTAGATCTAAGCATAGCATGGGCCATGCCCCCTAGGAACAGCTCGTACAGACGTGTATATACATGTAAATTGTGCATAGTGCTTAGACAGGGCTTCCTTGTTTAAGGTTTTAGATAAGGGCCTGAACAAGTAGAATAAGGCTTTGGTACAGTATCGTAGCTTTAACTTCACTTCCAAATCCTCAATGTTCCTACATTTTTGCAAGAGGCACGAACGAATCTACCAATGGAACAGCTCGTGTGGTGGACCGTGACGAATGCATACGTTTTGAAGGTGTATTCGCGCACTTTATCTGCCTTAAACCGCTAGCTGTCGTGTCGCTGTCACAGTAGAACCAACACTCAGTGAGCCCAATACTCTCTGAGTCAGTGAGCCTTTTTTCGGGCGCTCTGGGCATCCTCATCAAATCCCCGAAGCCCCAAGACCCATAAACCCTAAACCCCTATAGATACTTTTAGGGAACCCTTAAATGATCCCCTTAAAGGAGCCCCTAAAACCACCAAAAAACACCAAAGCCCTCAGACACGTAAACCCTTAGCTCCCGAACCCTAACCCCCCCGCGAAATACACTAAAGCCCTCAGACACGTACACCCTTAGGTCCCAAACCATAGACCCCAAATCCCCGAAACTCTAACCCCTCCCCTCAAAACAAAAACACTAAAACCTTAAGACCCCCCAAAGCCCTAAAACCCTAACCCCCCGTCCAAAAAAAGCACACTAAAACCCTAAAGCCCCCAAAACCCTAAAACCCTAAACCCTAAAGCAAAAAAAACACGAAACAAACTTTAAGACCCCCTGACAGAAGAAACCTTTCTCATTGTTCTCGCCGCTCTCGGATCGCCTCTCGAAGCTGCAAGGGAGTGCCCAAACCCCTTTGGAGGATCCAAAAAGTAGATCCCTTAATGGGGTTCGTTTAGGGGTTCCTTTGAGGGTCCCTTTAAGGGATCCATAAAGTTTTAGGGTTTAGGGGTTAGGGTAGATCCCTTAATATGGGGGTTCGTGTAAAGTATCCTTAGTAGTATAGGGCCCCAAATTAGGGGATCTACTTTGTAGATCCTCCCGGGGGTCTGAGTCGGGCTTTGAGGGTTTACCCGTAGGCCCCCTAGTTGTTCCTTTTTGGGATTACCTTATCGAAGTCTAAATTCGAGCCCCAAAAAGGAACTGCTTCGGGGCTTTCGGGTTTGAGGTGTAGGGCTTAGGGTCGAGCGTTGAGGGTTTAGGTGACAAGGGGTTCGCAAACAAGGTTTCCGTTGGGGCATCCTGTTAGGGTCTTGCCAAGGGTAGTACCATAAAGTACTGTAACGATCCTTTCTTTTTTTCGTGGCGGTTCAGGGTTCTTTTTAAGGAGCAAAAATGTAGCTAACATGCTTGGTCGGGGCTCTATACTAGGAGCTGCAGGATTGCACTGGTGCGGTGTTGGGCTAGGGAGTTGAATTCGGGCTGTCAGAATACTGGCATGCAGCAAACAAGATGCCTTCTTACCATCTGGTAAGTTCGACTAAGTTCTTATGCCCCAATGCCTTCGAAGTTGGGTGGAACTGAAGTTTCGAGGCTATGGTGGCAGGAATTGGGCTTAAGGGATGGCCCTAGACCCCATCTGGATCTTGTATCTAGCATCGGAAGGAACTACAATGGAGACTATAGGTGTCTCATATCCTAAACCTTGGCAGATGGAAGAAGGAGCTTGGAGCAAACAGCAAACTCCTCAACCTTGAAGGAAAATCCTAAGCCCTAAACCCGGGCCCGTTCGGATGTCCAGCTCTTGCCTTCATTCTCTCCCCGCTCAAAGTTTCGGGCAGGAGCCTGACGCCTGACTTCCTTCTTCATGGCACTACCTGGAACGATATGTGTTGCATGTGTACCAGAAGAAGATGAGACGTGATACTCGCACTGCTTCTTAGTGCAAGAAGCCCAACAAGACACTGCGATGCATCAATGCAGTGCGAACATCTCAGACACGGTTTTCAGAAACTAGCAATCAGTCATCACGATCATACGCATTCACCTGCACCCAGCCGTGACGTAGCATACGACGTGCTTATGTATGTACGCACGTATGCTCGTATGTATGTGTGAGTCTTATAGTATATTGTATGTACCGATATACGTTTGTGGTCTGACTTGTTCTTTCCATTGACTGTGTTGTCCTGAACTGTAGAGTGTAAACCCGGAGCTTCAATTACACTGTTAACTTCTTAGTAATTAGAAAGCGCCACAGCCTGCGTCTACGATAGACGGCGGAATAGCTAGTAAGAAGCATTCCCTTCATAGACTCTGTTAGAATCAAACGTTCATGTACACCAATACCCTATCCTAACTAGTGAAGCTTTCATGCTGAACCACTAGCTGAACCTTACAGAAACTGAATCACCCACAACATCTACACCTAAATTTTAAGCCCAAGAGACCCTAAACCCTGCATCCTAGCCCAAGAGACCCTAAACCCTGAATCCTAGACCCTGAACCCTAAAGGAACAACGTATAAGAGCCAAGGTTTGTGGGCATTGCTATGGAAACCAAAGGATATCAGCTCGCCGAGGTTTGGGGTTTTAAGGGTTTTCAGGGTGTAGGGTTTCGAATTTAGATGCTATGTTAAGGGTCTTAAAGGTTTAGGGTTTGGAATTGAAAGTTTAGGTGGGGGCTTAGGCTTCATGATTTGGGGTTTAGGGTTTAGGGTGGGGTTTAGACTTGATGGTTTAGGGTATGGTTTCTTACTACCATGTGCTAGAAGGGGTTCATGAGCATAAGCTTTCTAGGGTCCTTCAGACGTCAAGGTATCATAATCTTATGCAGGGCTGCCGGGTACTACTACAACGGATATCCTAAACGGGTTACAGGGTACTACCCCCAGAAGGCCTGTTTTCCTGGTTTATGGGCTGGGTGGCGAGGACTGGGGGTCCTGAACTCTCGGGGATCAGTTCTCCCGGGGTTTTGCGCGTTGCGGTAAGGGATTTTGGGGTCAGGTGTGATCAGGTTCTGGTTTAAGGGGTTCGGTAGAGTTTAGTGTTTAGCGTGTCGGCTTTAGGGCGTTTTGGGTCAAAGAGTTTTCTAGCACAGGCTCGGGTCTTTTGCGCAATCGACGGTTATGTCTCAACAATAGCCCGGACCGGCTAGGGCAGCAAAATTGTACCTTTTGTGTGTATATGTTATATGTTGTTTTTGTATTTACGCATGTGTGTTTACACGTATGTGTGTATGTATGTATGTATGTATGTATGTATACGTAAGTAATTAAGTATGTATATATGTATGTATGTATGGCATGTATGTATGCATGTGTGCTCGTCCATTTGTATGTGTGTATATATATATATATACACACATACACACGTATATAAACGCGTTCGGTTATACATATATATATATATATATATGTATATAGAGAGAGTTAGTTATGTATGTATATATATATATATATATATATATATATTTTGGGGCCCATGGGTATAAACATATTTGTATGACCACGAACATGTTTTTATATAAACACATTCCTATACATACAGATTATTTGAACCAACAAAACAACTGAATAAATACATATCTATATATATATATATATGTGTACACATGTAGATGTATATCCTCCAGGCTTGGGGGGGTGAGGTGTTGCATGTGGGAGTTTCCGGAAATAGAGGACCATAATATAGTATTCTAAATCGTATCAACCTTATTGTAAGGACCCCAAATTAAGGACCCCCGGATGATCGGAAATTCCCATGTGCAAGAGAACCCAGACGGGCGGGGTTTTCATCGCTTGCTCACAAGGGGCCCAAGGCTTCTTGACTCGCGGCAACTGCCAGCACGCCAAGGACTCACTCATTTCAGCAACTGGGACACTACTACCCGAAGAGAGAGAGACAGAGAGAGAGAGAGAGAGAGAGCTATGCCAATGTTACAAAAGCAAGCTATAAGACAAACCCTAACAGAGTAAGAGCCCGGTGTAAATTCAGGACCCTTCGAAGATCATTGATGGCTGTTGTCAGTGTTATTAGTATTTTTTTGTTACGCTTGTTATTGTTATTCTGATTTTGATTGTTGAACTTGTTAATATGATAAGTATCTTGCATCCGTAGCATGATAAAAATGATTATTATTACTATTATCAGTGGGAGTGTTATTGTTACTATCATCATTGTTGTTATTGTTGTTTAGTCTGATTATTGCTATTTGCAGTATATATTATAGTATAGTATAGTATTGTATAGTATATATATATATACACACGATATGCCAGGTACTGCATAATACATATACATATATATATATATATATACACACATATATACATATATACATATATACATATATATATATATATACATATATATATATACATACATATTGACATATACATACATACATATGCATACACGTACACAATACAAGTTACATATATATATATATATATATGTATATATATATATATATATTTATACATACACATATATTTCTGTTTAGTTATATGTACATGTATATGGATACATCCACAGAAGCTGTATTGGAAACTTCACGTTCGCCTCGGCCCCCACTGTTCTGCCCGATGTGTCCTGGGAGGTCGGCAAAGCTTCCATGTTTCGCTACGTGGAGGCCATGTGCAGGGATCACTATAGGGGTTCCTTTAAAGGGAAGTATAGGGTTTCGGGGTTTAGGGGTTGGGAGTTTAGGGTTTGAGTTTGGGGTTCGGGGGTTTCGGGTTTGGGGGGTTTGGGGTTTGGGGGTTTCGGGTTTAGGGTTTGAAGTTTGCAGTTTGGGGTTTAGGGTTTGGGGTTGAGGGTTTAGGGTTAGGAGTTCCAGCCAATCCAACCAGCAGAAATGACGGGAGTTGTAACAACTGGAAGATGGCTTTGTGAGCATTGCTGCTTTTCGGTGCTCTCATCGTACTACCACTACTACTACTACCAGTACCGTTAACCACCATTGCTACTGCTACTGCTACTGTCGCTGCTCCCGATGCGGCTGCTATTATCTCTACTTATCACCATACCAGCAGCACCCTTCATACTTAGACTGGAGGTGCCTTTCGCCTACTTCTTGCAGCTGATCGCCACCAAGGACCCGCTTCCCGTGCATGGGTGTGTCAACCAATGAGGAAATGAGGAACCCCAAAAAGGCAGGGCTGATAGATTTTTGATAGAGTTTAGGTTTTAGGGCTGAGGGTGTAGGGTTTAGGGTTTATATAGTATATAGTATATAGTATATAGTGTATAATATATAGTATATATAGTAAATAGTATATAGTATATAGTTGGTCGGGTTTAGGGTTTACGGTTGGCGGGAGCTGCACTACAAGACCGATCTTTGGGCTCGCAGTCTCCTAGAATCCTAACTGCGAGACTAGACCGTAAACCCTAACCTTCAGTTCCCGACTCCGAGGTTTTTAGCTCCGATCCCGTAAGTGCTGCTAGACTTTACAGCCGAGCTCGTCAACTTCAAGCTTTCTTGGAGTAAATTTCAACTTCACTTTTGCTTTGTCAGCTGAAGCTGCTTCAGGTAATAAACAAGCCTAAACCCTAAGCCCTAAACCCTTAACCCTAGCTCAAAAAGCGCGGTGCGCCTGCAAAGGCGTGCAGGGGGGTCTCTGGCTGCAAGCGCGACGACCTTGGGAGCACAGCAGTCGTGCCCAGTCGCGGCAGACCACTCTGCCAAAGTACCAGACGCCCCTGAACCCTAAACCCTTTAAACCCTAAACCCCTAAACCCCTAAACCCTTTAAACCCTAAACCCCTAAACCCTCAAGAAAGAACCAAAACCCTGAACCCTAAACATGCTTCCGAAGAGGAACCTGCAGAGGCTCCTACGAAGAAGCAGCGAAAGCCGAGGGCGCCGACGGCGTTCATGTACTTCTACAAGACTTCCCCACACAACCGAAGGTATTGTTTCGGCCAGTGGATTGGACGTATTCCCTTCCGCAGCAGCGCCAATCCCCAGTCGCCAAATGGACATATTCCCCTTCCATAACAAGTGCCCCAATTCCCAAACCCCCAAACTGTGTCCGACTCTATCTCTCGATCTCTACTCTGCGCCACCGCGCGCTGCATCCCTCAACTCCATACGAACTACAAACACTCCCCCTGTAATACCCTGCCCCAATAATACCCCACCCTGCACCACCCCCACCATGGTCCTGCCTGGTTTAGGGTTGGGGGAGAAGAAGGCTGCGGGGGGTCCGTAACAGTCCATCCCAAAAGGAGGGGACTGAGAATGCGGAAGGTGGACACACAGAACACTGAAACCCTAAACCCTAAACCCTAAACCCTAAACCCCTGTTAAGGAACTTCACTTCGAATAGTTGAGCCCGGAGCCCCTATGCGGTTCGCATCATGCTCGATGAGATCGCCGCCGATAAATTACGAAGCCTAATAAAGGAGCAAATGCATAGGGTTTAGGGCTTGTAAGGTTGAGGTTTCACTCCTCACCACCATAATTACTCTCAAGCTCTTATCACATCCTGAATTAAAACCCAAAGCCTTCAAAGCCGCTTGCCCAGAGCCAGACTTTTGTCGATCAGGCTATCTACGCCACAGCAAGGGAACATACCTTCCATGTTGGATATACTCAAACAGAGCCTCGTGAACTTACCCCAAGGGTCCAAGTACCTAATTTAATAATGTTATACTCTCCAGAATCCTAACCTACATAACTACTATCCTGAAACCGAGCACCTGTTTATTGGGTCCTTTGGACCCTTGGGGTTAGGGTTCAAGGTGTAGGGATGTGTCCTATAAAGTAAACTTGAAGATGCATCCCGCAGCTCTACACCTTACCCTGAGGCCCCAAAGTAGTTCCTTTTTGGGGTTCAGAAATAGAATCCTATAAGGTAATCCCAAAAAGGAACTACTTTGGGGCCTATGGGTACAGACATCTATAAACCTAAAACCCCTGAACCCTAATTCCTTCATCAAGGGGTGTATTACTTAGAGGTCCTGGGGACTCCTTAAGTCGGTGATAAGTAGGGGTATAGTTGGGGTAACTCATTTAGGGTAATTATGACCCCAGTCAAAAATGTCTACGTACGAAGTCGCTTGGGCTTCTGAGTGAGCCTAACCCCGCCCCCCTTATAGAACCCTTTTAGATCCACTACTTGCTAAGTCCCCTGGGCCTGAAACCCAAAACCCTACAACCGAAACCCTAAATCCTAAACCCTAAACCCTAAAACCTAAACCCTAAAACCTAAACCCTAAACCCTAAACCCCAAACCCTAAACCCTAAACCCCAAACCTAAACCCTAAACCCTAAAACCTAAACCCTAAACCCCAAACCCTAAAACCCAAACCCTAAAACCTAAACCCTAAACCCTAAACCCCAAACCCTAAACCCTAAAACCTAAACCCTATACCCCAAATCCTAAACGTAAGTAGACTCACTTGTAGCGTTGGAGGAGCCTGTGCGGGTGCAGGCGCTGGTGGGCTCCGTTCTCATCATCGCCTCCTGTTTTCTGGGCCGCTGGGTTGCGATTAGGGCACCTTAGGGTTCCTTTGGGTTCCTATAAGGCTATAAGGGCACTATAAGGGTTCCTGTGAAGGGCTCTAAAAGGGTTTTTAAAATTAGGGGTACCTTGTTTTTGAGGTCCTTAGAATAAGGATCCGGGTTAGGGTTTAGGGGTTTAGGGTTTTGGGGTTTAGGGTTTAGTGGGCAGCAGGATTTTTCTGGACGGGGTGGGACGGTATCGTAGACTTATACAGACGGTTTCGATATTGGAAACATTCAGTACCCTTTTACACTGACGCTCAACTAGTATGGCTGCTGGCCTACATGAAAAGACTTTAGGGGCAGACCGCATGATGAGACAAGCATCGTTCACGTCCACAGTTGCCCGGTGTGGAAAGAGAAAGGAAAGCATGGACTGAATCAGAAATCTTCCCTCACGACAGTCCAGTTTTCACTCTCAAGCTCGAAAGCACTAAATCCCAAACTAGGTTTGGGGTTCCGGGTTTAGGGTCACCCCTAAACCCACTTCAAAGAAGAGCATAAAGTTCCCATTGAGCTAGGACTGGAGCTGCCAATCTTCGGAAATTCCGAGAGATCCGAGAAAGCGGCGCCACTGCTGCGAATCCCGGGATCCCCGTAGCTGGGAGGAAAAAACGGATCGTTTAGGGCTTGGGGCTTCGGGTTTACGGTTTAGGAAAAGTTCTATAGTGAACGCGAGAAAGTTGGAACATTGATTCAGGATGATTCTTGCTGGGATTCCCTTTACTTTACTTTAAGGGCAAGAGGATAATTATGTTCCCACTTTCTGGCTTCTACTGTAGGGCTTCGGCGGAGTTTGAGTCGTGTCAGGATTCCGGCGTGAGAAATTTAGGGCCTGCCAGGGCTCTAAAGTCACGGCGTTAAGGTTTAGGGTGCAGGGTTTAGGGTGTAGGGTATGATGTGTAGGGTTAGGGACTTCGTGTTTCAATGTTTTAGGGCTGGCAGAACAAGGAAAGGGACTGTTTGAGGGTTTATAGGGCTTAGGCTTGTTAGGGTGCAGGACGTAGAGCAAACGAATTGTAGGGTTGAGGGATGCAAGGGATTAAGGCCTCGACACCGGGGTCGGAAGATTTGCGATCACATTTGCCAAAGCAATTCTTAGAGTGCCTGCATATGTTATGGTTATGGTCGAGTATACAGCAAAACCGAGTCCAATGATTAAGGCCCATAGTATGGTTCAAAGCTTGAGAAGCCAGGGACTGTGGTTTCAGGTGGCTTAGGGCTCTAAGTCAGAAGCGTGTGGGAGCAGCCTCTTGGTGGAAGAACTTCTTGAGAGGAGGTCTGAATGTGCCTACTAAGGGGTTTAGGGTTTAGGGATGTAGGGTTTAGGGTTTAGGAGTTAGTACATTGTTCTAGTCCCTCTGTCGTAACCTGTGCGACACTAGGCGCCAAAACCCTGTAGAGTCAGGCCGTATAAAGTACCAAACTAGTAGAAACCATATACGAGCACATGGAGCCTTAAACCCTAAATTACCAAATCCTATCAGAGGAATCCGTATAGGAACGCTTTTAGGAGCCCCTCAAAGGGTGGGTTCCTAATTCCTAAACCCTAAACCCCTAAACCCCTAAACCCTAAACCCTACGTAAACCTTAGAGGAAACCTCAAAGGAGCGCTTCGAGGAACCCTTATAAGGGTACCCCTGAACCTTAGGGTGCAATATAGGGGCCTAAATCGTTGCCTGTACCATTTTTTTTTTCGGGGGGGGGGGGGGGCGAGGGGGGTGGGGCTCATTCTTAGAATTATAGTATAATGGGTCCCAGAACCATATTCCAATTGTTAAGGCCCCAATTTTACCATTTAACTTGCGGCCCTAAACCCTAAACCCCTAAACCTCTAAACCCTAAATCCTGGACCCCTAAACCCGCTAAACCCTCTACGCCTTGCACATTTTACGGCCTGTAGGTACCATTTATAGCCCCTGAACCTTGGGGTGTAGTCTTTGTATGGATTTGCCCAAGATAGCTGCTCTCGAGTCTCACGGTCCTTCCTTTGATATCTGAGGGCTTTGGGCTTTAGGCTTTTAGGAGTTTAGGGCTTAGGGCTTAAAGTGTAGGGTTTTAGGGTTTAGGGTTTAGAGGTGTAGGGGTTTCGGCCATGGCCACGTTGGAACTTGGCATTGGTTCGAGAGGTTGTCGGCACGCTAGCCGCTAGCCACTCCGGTTACTCTTGGTTCGAGTCCTAGCTGTACCTGAACACGGGCCTTATGAAATCGAAACCCCACAACCCAACCTGAGCCCGCAAGCACCTAATAACCCTGAACCCTGATCCCAAGCCCTTGAAACCCCACACCCGAATTCCGAAAGCGAATCGTAAGCCACATTGCGGGGTGTTGCTCCCCATTCATGTATTGAATCTGGTTGCCGGCTCCTCGCAGCGGCAGTGCTTCAGTGCTCAGAACCTCCGACATGCCTGGGCCTTAAACGATAGCAAAGTACCGGCTAAGTAGAGATAGCTGCAATATACAGCAACCACAATTCGAGGGTATTGTTTTAATGCATGATTGTCTCTAGATAATTAGCTGCCATGCCTCTCGGAGGAGAGTATACCAGGCTAGCCTTTAGGTTGTCTGCCCTAGCTCCAAGCATGTGTTTAATGCAACAGGACAACTGAGGAGTCCTACTGTTGACCAGCTCGAAGTTGTGGAGTGCAGCTTTTTTGTGCCAGCCCTGACTGCTGCAATGGGCTACATTGACAAGGCAGTCTGCTCCTCTGCCATTGCTAGATTTCATGACGAGTCGTAGTAGTAGCAGTAGGAGGAGGAGTAGGAGCAGGAGGAGGAGGAGTAGGAGTAGGAGAAGGAGTAGAAGTAGGAGTAGGAGTAAGCGTAGGAGTCCAGCACAAGTAGTACAGGTACCAGATTCAGTACCAGTATTAGCACTAGCACTAGTATTGGTAGTAGTAGGAGCAGCGGAGCAGGAGCAGTAGTAGTCGGCGTAGTAGTCGTAGTGGTAGGGGTAGTGGCAGCGGTAAGGGTATGGGCAGTGGCAGTGGTAGTGGTGGCCGTAGTAGCTGGAAATAGTTTTCTTGCAGTCGTAGTCGTGATCACGTGTTCGTCCCTGGGTGCTTCTCGGCATGCCTTTTTGTTTTCACATGGTCTGGTAAGTGTTAGTAGTTATTCATGGCCGTGCAACCTTACCTAGCTTCGAACGACGATGTTGAAACTAAACCCTCAACTTTAAACCCTCAATCCGCAAACCCTACCAACCTAAAGAACACCAAAACCCTAAAGAATCCAAAAACCTAAAGAATCCAAAAACCTAAAGAATCCAAAGACCTAAAGAATCCAAAAAACCTAAAGAACACCAAAAACCTAAAGAATCCAAAAACCTAAAAAAGAATCCCAAAACCTAAAGAATCCAAAAACCTAAAGAATCCCAAACCCTAAAGAATCCAAAAACCTAAAGAATCCAAAACTCCAAAGAGCCCTAAACCCTAAAGAACCCTAAATCCCAAAGAGCCCTAAACCCTAAAGAGCCCTAAACAATGACAACCAGACCCCGGGGCCGTGTTTTGGCCGCAACTGTAAACCCGAACCGTTCAGTGTTCACCTGGACCCTAAGGCTAAGAGCGCTTAGGGTGTAGAATTTAGCGGGTTTAGGTCTTTAAGACTCTTAAGATGCTTTTTACGACCTAACTTTTTGAGGCTTGTTTTGGCTTCTTTGTGAACTTCCTTAAAAGCGTAGGGTCTATAGGGCCTAGGTAAGGTTTATTTAGGGTTTAGTGGCTTAGGGGCTTTGGGTTGGGGGCTTAGCAATTTAGGGTTTAAGCTTTACGGGTTTGGGGGTTTGGGGGTTAGGGTTGATGATATGAATCCTTGGATCAAACAGCCCGACACCCTGTTCTGATTTTCAGGGCTCCTAGAGACAACCCGCCAGCCCCGACTCACACCCGAAGCTTGAACTCAAAACCCTAATGTCTCCAAGCTCCAAATGCTAGATTCAACAGCCTCAGCTCCGATCTCCTATTTTTTGAACACTCTAAACCGTACAGCCTCAACCCCAACCCCCAGAATGAAGCCTAAGACTTTAATATCCCTAAAACCCTATGCCCAAATAAAGCCCGAAGAACCCTAAACCCTAAACCCTAAACCCTAAACCCTAAACCCCTAAACCTCTAAACCTCTAAACCCTCGAAACCCTGAAGCCGCCGAGAGAAAGACCTGAATGTGCGCAGGTACACAGCCCGACCTCTCCTGTCGCTTCTTAGCTGGTTTGGGGTTTAGGCTTCCCGCGGGGTTTATGATTTAGGCGGTTTAGGCTTTAGGGTGAAAGTTAAGGTTTAGGGTCTACAAGAGTTGAGGGTTTAGGCCTGGATGTCTCTATTAATCCCAAATGGAAAATCATGTTTTTCAATGCACCGGCTTGCCGAAGCCTAAACCATGAACCCTGGGGTTCCAGCTTCGGGCTGAAATGATGGGGGCATGTTCGGTTTCGGGCTTGGGGTCGAGTATGGCTTTTCAAACGGTATACATTATTTTATGAGTGTTAGAGCAAACGGGACCGACTGATTACTTTCATATTGGATTCAGAAGGGTTTGGTGGAAACTAGAGTGTAGCGACATAGAGACATTCACGGGACGTTGGTACTAATTAGTTTTCCCAACATTCCGATCTCTATTTGTCGCTAGCGCTCCAAGGTTTGAGGTTGAGATTTGGGCTTAGGGTGAGCCTGTAACCCCACATAAACCGCCACTAAGTTACTAGACCGCACGAGGCCATATTCAAACCCGACCAGAAAATCAACAACCCTTACGAAACCCTCGATAAGCAAATAAGAATCGATGAACAGAGCTCGTAAAAAAGAAGCCGTTGCAACCCATCCTGTGAAACCTCTACTCAAACTAATATAAAAAAACAAACCTGTAAAGCTTCCTCTGAAACATATTAGTTTGATCACAAACTAATTTAGTGAAGACCGGAAAAAATACCACCCCCGCAAAAAATCTATCATACCGCAAACCCTGAACCCTAAAGCCCATAAAAACCCGAAGACCTTAAAGCCCTGAGCCCCAAGACCCTACAGCCCTGAGACAGCGAAAAGAAAAATACACCGCAAAAAGAACCCTTTCAAGGAGCCCGTTTCAAAGGAGCCTTTAAAGAAGCCTTTGGACCTAAGAACAAGCTAAACCCTAAACCCTAAACGTTTCGGCAGATCGGAAAAGAGGCACGTAAACAAACAAAAACCTAAACCCCAAACCCTAAACCCTTAACCCCAAACCCAAACACCATTTTCGAGGCCAAGCTCTTCCAGTCGATTGAGCCCCTGGCCTTTCTGAAGGTGTCTCGTTGCAGTGGTTTAGGGCTTTTAGCGTGTTCAGGGTTTTTAGGGTTTGGGGTTTTGGGTTCAGGGTTTTGGGTTGAGGGTTTAGGTGGGTTTTAGAGGTTGTAGGGCTTATTGATAGAGTTCGGGAGGGTTTCAGGTAAAACGTGGGGTTTAGGAGGTTATGCCCTTTTGGGCTTGGGGCGGCCAGTTTGTTCCTTATGAGTTTCTTTTAGAATTAGGGGAAGCTTCTATGCTGGGCCCCGAACCTGCTAAACTCTCCACGCCCAACTAAACTCTGATCCCCAAAACCTGAACCAAACGAATAAACACTAAAACCTCGCAAACTGCGGGCCCCTGAACCCTAAACTCCTAAACCTCGGCTAAACCTTAAAACTCCGAAATCCTCAACACTACCCATAGGCCCCAAAGTAGTTCCTTTTTGGGCTTACCTTATAGGATTCTATATATGAACCCCAAAAAGGAACTACTTTGGGGCCTTACCCTAAGACTCCAAATGGCCCAAAGTAGGTAGCATTTATGGACTTTAGAGGCCAAAGTAGGTACTATTTGTGTACTTGGAGTCCCAGGGTTAGGGTAAACCCCTATAAGCCTATAAACTTTAAACCCTAAACCCTTATTATAAACCCTAAACCCCCTAAAACCGAGAGCCCCTTTAAACCCTAAACCCTTATTATAAACCCTAAACCCCCTAAAACCGAGAGCCCCTAAACCCTAAAAAAATCCTCAACACTAAAAACGAAACCCAAAAGCCCTGACGAGCGCCCTTGTGGTGCGGGGGTGCAGGGAAGCCGAGGCTGAGTTCTGAGTACCCAGAAAGCTCAATACCCCTGAATTAAGGAATACCTAGGGTTCCTTAAAGGGCTCCTTAAAGGGATCTATAGGGCTTCTAAAAGGGTATTAAGGAATATGGCTTAAATTATATAGGGCTTCATATTATGATTTAAGCTATATTGCTTAATTAAGGGGTATTGGGCTCTCTGGGTATCGGCAAAAGTGGATGGAGGGTTTGCTGTTAGGGGTTTAGGGGCTATAGGGTTCCTTTAAGAAGGGATCCACAAGGGATCTATAGGGTTTAGGGGTTTGGGGGTTTGGGGATTTAGGTTTAGGGTCTGGGTTCAGGGATTGCAGTTTGGGGTCTGGGTTTCTGGGCGTTGGGATTCATTAGCCGAGTACTTGAGGGTGCCCTTGCATGGAGGCTCATTGGCCGGGATGTCTCTAATAATCAAGTAATTCAAAGGTCCCGAAACCCTGGGTAGGTGGGCTCAGCTGCAGGGCAGTTGGGGATTTTTTTCAGCGCAGTTCTTAAAGCGAGATCCTGTCAGTGTAGGACTTAAGTTGTCGGGGTTAAATTTTAGAGGTCGTATTTTGTCTCCGAGCCTCCAAGCCCTGACGCCCTGCCGGCACGTTAACGACACAACCTTAACCTTAAACCCTACACCCCAAAAGCCCTAGACTATTAACCCAAAGCAAGGATCCCTAAGCCTGAAACCTCAAGAGAGCCCTAAACCCTAACCCTAAACCCTAAACCCCTAAACCCAAAAGCCCTAGACTATTAACCCAAAGCAAGGATCCCTAAGCCCCGAAACCTCAAGAGAGCCCCAATTAGGGTCCCTTTTAGGGTACTTATAAGTCTACTTACTACCTACTTACTAAGTCCCCTAAAGACCCTCCAAGAAGACTCCAGCCCTAAACCCTAAACCCTAAACCCTAAACCCCTAAACCCAAAAGCCCTAGACTATTAACCCAAAGCAAGGATCCCTAAGCCCTAAACCCTCAAGAGAGCCCTAAACCCTAAACCCTAAACCCTAAACCGACTCCTTATAAGTCTACTTACTACCTACTTACTAAGTCCCCTAAAGACCCTCCAAGAAGACTCCAGGAAAGGGTGGGGCGCAGTCCATCCAGTGGCGGCTTGGAGGTCCCTCGCGCGGGAAAGAAGGGGGCCGGGGGACTTAACTCACAGTGAGACTGTTTAGGGTTTAGGGTTTAGGGGTTTAGGGTTTAGGGTTTAGGGGTTTAGGGTTTAGGGTTTAGGGTTTAGGGGTTTAGGGGTTTAGGGTTTAGGGTTCAGGGTTTCAAGGTTTAGGCTTTCGGTGCTCTCGGATGCTTGAGGCATATTATGTGATCCATCTTGGGATGTTTGACAGGTTTCGTAGGGTTGCTTCTGAACAAAGGTGCTGACGAAAGAAAGCCCCCGAAAGCCAAGGGCACTAAACCCTAAATCGTAGACCCTAGACCGACTGAGAGGCTTCGCCGACACAGTCTGGGACCGATGTAACGCCCAGCTCGGCGTGGTTCGAGGACCTCATTCTCTGGAAGGTCAAAGGGTCTTGTATGCCCGGGTTGAAGTTGGGTACTGCCCCCACTCAGTATACAACAGTTGAGTAATATTCATAATATAGATCTATTAGGACCCCCCACTCAGTATACAACAGTTGAGTAATATTCATAATATAGATCTATTAGGACCTTTCTAGTAGCCCTATAGACTGTTACTGTATAGGGGCAGTACCCAAGGTTGAAGGACTATAGGTTTGGGTTTAAGGGTTTTTGGGCTTAGGGTTTAATCCCATGTTAAGGGTGTTTGGTCTCATGATTTGGGGTTTAGGGCTTCGCTTTCGGACGCCCCGGCTTTGGAATAGCCGCAGTGGACCGATGCGCGGTTTAGTGCTTACTGTCAGCAGGTCTAGGGTACAATATAGTTAGAAGACTGAATAGTTCGTGATCACAACGGTGTCCTCTGCATGGCATAAGGCAGCTGTCCACAGCAACGTCGATAAGTGCCAGATGGCAGTTACTCCAGTGTCTTCTGGATGCCAGAAGAAATTCACCGCCGTCAACAAGAAGTTCGATGAGTTTGAATTGACATATTGGAGAAGGCAGTCACTCCAATCATTAAAGAATTTTCTCACGTTCCAGCCAAGAGGCGGACTTAAAATATCCACATGCGTTGGCAGCTGTTGGACCAAGACTGAATGTCCCTGCCAATGACAACAAACTCGTGATACTACACCTTAGGGCTCCTCATACCTCAAAACCCTGTTCCAATTGTTAAGGCACCCATCGACTGCGATTGTACCTCACCAGCAGCGGCCATTTTTAGTAGGCAGCGGCAACATCACGTGGCGGCTGGTGAGCCGGCATGCAATTTTCCCTGATCGGACACTGAAGCCTAAAACCCCGTCAGCGTTTCGGGTCTCACTAGGGCAACAATGATGTCATCTTTTGTGGTCTCATGTCAGGAGACAGTTTCTTGCCGCAGACATTGATTGTGTAGGGATTATAGGGGCATTTGTTGAGCCAAAGTCTTTCTGATAAAGGGGATCTTGGCTGCCCTCATGTAGAATCAGAGCCCCATTGCTATTCACTACCCATCATGTTTGTTGATTTCGTCAATGGCCTGGATTGCACGCATGCCCACGTAGTCTACCATATGGTGTATGTGTCGGTCATGCACAGTTAGTATTTAGACTTTCCCTTGAGGCCTCAGCATATATTCTCCCTCTGTACACAGAGAGAGAGAGAGAGAGAGAGAGAGAGAGAGAGAGAGAGAGAGAGAGAGAGAGACAGTTGTTGCTTAGGCCCTATCAGGCCCTCTAGAAACTTGTAGAAAGCCCTATAAACCCCAAGGGCTCGGGGACTGCCCCTTCCAGGACTTCGCCGCCGACAGCTCCGTAGATTTGGAGAAGGTCTCTCCGAATGTAGGGTGTAGGGTTTGGGGTTAGTGTTTGGGGTTGAGTTTAGACTAGGGTGCTGTTAGGGTCTTCCAGGTAGTTGATACACTCAAAGGCGCTACAGAGTTCTATAGTACAGGGGCCTAAATAACTACCAATATTATTCCTAGGGTCCTTATTATAGTCAGAGTATATTTTGCCCCAAAACCCTATTCTAATTGTTCAGGCCCCTATATTAGGTTAGCCTAAGGAACCCTTAAAGGAACCTATATGGGCACATGGACCCGTCGGGAATCTGAAGGCTCTTGGAGCCCAGTTTAGGGGTTTAGCCCCCTAAACCCTAAACCCCTAGACCCCTAACCTCCTAAGCCCCTGAACCCCTGAACCCTAAACCCTAAACATCCCTAAACCCCTGAGGCCTAAACCCTAAAGCCCTTACACCCTGAATTCCGAGCCCCGGAGCCTCCCTTTGCACTTTGACCCTGAACGCTCGAACCTACGCCCGTGTGCTGCAGGATCCCTTCTAGATCCTTTAAAGAATCCTTTAAAGGATCTTATAGGATCCTTTAAAGGATCCCTTAAAGGAGTCCGGTTCTTATGGGATCCTTTAAAGGATCCCTTGAAGTCCTTTTCTAGTTAGAGATCACACCCCCTAACGCCCTCAACCCGAAGCCCTGACATCTGAACATGTGCTCAGGGCGGTGGCTCCGCGATGTCGGAGGCATTCAGGAGCGAACTTTAGGTTTCGTTTATTGTAGTTGTTATGCTTGGTCTTACTTGTTTTATCATTCTTTTTATCCTGATTTTTTAGATGGGCCTTATATGGGAGTTGAGCTTAGAGTTTAGGGGTTGTGGTTGAGAGTTAAAGGGGGCAGTAGGCTCCTAGTTGTTTTTAAGTGATTGTGCAGGCAAGCGTGAGTTGGCATTGGGTGTCTTCCACTGGTTTCAGAGGTTTTACGGGTGTGTCTTCGAAGACCTTTTAGCCGAGCGCTCAGCCTGGACTCCGAACCTACCTGGACCCTGAGTTCATACCTCTAAACCTACAGTACTTTCACTAGTAAAGCCCTAAATCGCGTAAACCGCTTAAGCCCTAGTCCTAAACCCTTGTCTTCAGAGGCAGAAACGGAGCGAGGGAAAGTTGCACAACAAGGTCGTTGCATGGGAAGTTCTTGAGGTCATCGACTTCTTCTATTTTTGGACGAGTCGACGGTGTCGGTAGTAGATGCCGTAGTCAAGACCAAGCTAGGGTACGAAGCGGAACGCATTTCCCCGGGTCTCAGCTGTCCTTCGCGGCGCCCGATTCGCATCCACCTCACGTCGTTGGCGAAGAAGGCCAGCAGGGAGTCCCGTGACGGGAAAGTGTCGGCTGTAGCCTTGGCCCTCGAGTTCCTCTCAACCAAGACTTCTGTTCAGTTGGGAACAAGGAGATTCGGGCCTTTACCAACATGCTCCAGGCGGTGTTCTGGTTGATGGTTGTGACGAAGCCTGGATCTTCGGCAGGACGTTTGTTGACGGCAGCGTCGACTCTGGTGGCCGACTACTTGTACACGGCTTCCAAGGATAGCTACTACATGCCGGGCATCAGCTCGACGTGGGGGGAGGATATACGTGTACGTTTTGCTTCCGGTTCGTTCGTTCAACGACGCCACCTCTGGTCTTTTGGTGAATTTCGCTTTCTCGAGGTTGACGATGGTCAGCACTCTCTTTGGGCCTGTTTCGCGAAGCCTTCCGAGCTTCTTCTGAAAAGGCTTGTGTAAGGGGCTTCCAAACAGGGTCTGTGAGGGACTATGTTCTATGAAGGGTTCTGTTCTAGAAGGGGTCTACACGGGTTCTGCATTCGACGATCCTGTTTGCATCTCTGAGTAGGCTTGCAAAACATCTTCCGTTTCGCCTTACCTCTTTTGGGCTTTACTGTTCAGGGATCTTTGGTTCAGGGTTTGTGCCACTCCTTCTCTGTGTGCGTGTCGGTGCATGAGCTTGGCGTTGAAAGCTTGGTCGAAAACCCAAAACTCGCAGTCCGAAACCTCTTGTACAAATGTGGCAACCCAGCCCCTCCCACCAAAAAGAGCCCTAAACCCTAAACTCGAGAGCCCTAAAGCCCTAGAGCCTTAAACCTTTGAACCCTAGAGCCCAAAAAACCCCAGAGCCCTAGAACCCTAGAGCCATAATTAGAGCCCTAAACCTATAGAACCCTACACCCCTAAACCCTAAGCCTCCTTAACCGCTAAACCCCAAACCCCCAAACCCTGAACCCTAAACCTATAGAAACCTACACCAAATCTTGAAGCGCAGCAGACCATCGACCCGGCAACAGAAACAGAGGAAGCTCCGAGTTTCGAACTAAGGCGCCTGAGTCCGACACACCCGTTTTTTTACTATGTGGGTCGTTCTCTAAATTAGGGTCCCTTTTTGGGTACCCGAAATATTAGGTGCCGTATTATATTAATGTTCCAAAAAGAGACCCTAATTATCACAACCACTCATGTAGTTTGAGGATTTAGTTTAAAGGGGTTAGGGGTTTAGGGATCTAGGGATTAGGGATCTAGGGTTAAGCAATTTTTCTTCATAGCCGATTTATATGTAGTGCGATGTAGCTCAGAACCATTATGTTGATAGTGTAATGAGCGCCAGAACCCTATTCTAACTTCTAACTACTAAGACCCCTATATTATTGAGGCCTCTCTAGTGACTCGAAGCCCTAACCTCTCACAGGAAGCCACTGCCCTCCAGTGACAAGCTCCACCGATACACAATTGTGACATCTGCAGCACGCCCAGTTTTCGGCTCTCTGGTATGGCTTGCTTTCAAGGTTTAGTTTTTGGGCCCGAGGTAAGGTGGGAACCTGACTAAGAAACCTTGGGTCCTTATTAGGGTTCTTAATATGGATCCTGATATATTGAGGTCATAGGGCCAGGGTTTCTTAATCCGGTTCCTACCCCAACCAAGGGTCCAAAGGACCCAGTAATTAGGTACTCGGCTTTACGATAAATGTTATGTAGGTTAGGATTTTTGCGAGTATACGATTATTAGGTACTTGGACCCTTGGGGCTACATTAGGCACTTCATGGGGTGTAGGTGTATGGGTTTCTAACCCTACCCGCAGGTTCGAGGACCTGAACTTAAGCACCATGCTAACGCGCAAGGTGTCTGGGTCACGTTTGGAACCTTGGTCCGGGCTAGGTTGGATTTTGGGACATGTTATTTTGATTTTCCTTATTTGTGTTTATAAGGGACCCTATATATAAATATTATTCGGGGTGTTTAAAAGCCAACCCAGCTTGTTGATCTTATCACTAGCGTTCGTTTTAGTAGCCGTAGGGGTCCAAGTACCTGATAATCATATACTCGCACAAATAGTATTCTACATAACTACTGTCCGGAACCTAAGCACCTAACTATTGGGTCCTTTGCACCCTAAGGGTAAGGTTTTGGTTGTTACTCTTACTTTACTATGCTTCTTAGACAGAAATCTCCACTTCGGTAGGTTTTTCAGGAGGCTCCGCCTTGGCCCTGCGCAGAGCACTCTTCTGTCCGGACAAAACTCCTACTACAAGTAGGGTTTAAGGTTTAGGGGTTTAAGGTCTAGTGGTTTAAGGTTTAAGGTTTAGGGTGTAGGGTGTAAGGGATCGACTTTAGAGGTTTTAGGTTTTAGGGTAAGGGTTTTAGGGATTTAGGGTTTAAGGCTTTAGGGGTTTAAGGGTTTTAAGGCTTAAGGTTTAGGGGATTAGGGCTTGGGATTCCCCTGACGTAGGGGTCATGTTCTGTGTCATTGTGGTTCCTAGTGCCCTAGTACGGAACTCTGTACGGTTTTGGGTTCCTCTTTGTGTTTCTCGGCAGTGGAACACAAAACCCTAAACTCTACAACCTAAAACCCTAAACCCTAAACCCTTATAAGCCCAAAACGGGTTTAGTGACAGATGCCAGATCTGCAGCCTTTACCTTCTCAACAGCGAGGGCTTTTACAGGCAGCCATGGGCTGTTCGCAGGGCATTCAAACCCCTGCGGAGCCAAAAGTCCGCGTCAAAAAACTGGACGCCGGTTTCGGGTGTGGCGGTGCAATAAAATAGGTGCAATAAAATAGGGGCTTTAGTATTTAGAATAGGGTTTTGGGGTCCATTAGACTAGAGTGATAATTATAAGGAACCCCAAAGTAGTATTGGTAATTAAATATTTAGGCCCCTATATTATTACAGTGTTTTGTTTACTGTAGTCTGAGTCAGGATTGTGAGAAACACCTGCTGCAGAGTTATGGGTACCGCCAGATGGAGTTACCCATTTATACCCCTGCTCATAACCGGCTTACTATAGTCTCCTGGGCATCCAAGCAGGCCGTTGGCTTCTAAACCTTCAACCGATTGGAAGAGGGCTTAGGGTTTAGGGTTTAGAGGCATTTCGGGATGAGGTGTGCGGGGTTTAGGCTTCAGGTTAATGGAAGCCAGGGATCGGTTGCAGGTTGGGGGCTTGGGCAGGGGTGCGGCCGGGAATTTCAATCGTTCCTGCTGTGAACCTAGCTGCCCGTCTCTGCGGCACGTGAAGATGCTAGCCAGTTTGTATTTGCACTCAAGAGTAACGTGTGGCACGGGTGCCAATGATGTTCTCTCCTAGCTGAATCTGGGAACTAAGTCTCTGTAGTAAGTTTGAACCAGTTATAACACCTTAAACCCTAAACCCTAAACCCTAAGCCCTAGGGTGGACATTGTTTTGATTGAAGCACAACTCGATGCCCCGAGTCAGCAGATAACCCCATCTTCAGAACACTTAGCCGCACGGGGTCGAGTCGGCTGCTTCTGTGAGGCAACACTAAACCCCTAAACCCGTTATGAGCATGTCGGGAAGGGTTTAGGGTTTAGGATTTAGGATTAGGGGTTGGGGTTTTGGGTTTAGCTTTGGGGTTTTCAGCCTAAGTCACACGTCCCACAGCTTCGGCGCTCTCCAGGACAAGCTGAGCCCATGGTCATCTGAGTCTACACGAGAAGATGCAGATGACGCAGAGACTGCAGGCTCGGGTTCGGGGTTTAGGTTTTAGGGTTTAGGGCTCAGGGTTTATAGTGAACCTCAGATGGACATGAGCGTTGTTCTTTTTGGGGGGTTCTTGTGACAAGACTAGGAGGGCGATTAGCGAAAACTCGGTCGCTTAAAAAGTGCACACCCTTTCGATCGCGCGCAAGGGCGCGCAAGGGCGAACGCAAGCTATGCTCAAGGCTTGTTGTTAAGGTTGGTTCAAGAGTGATACTCAGCAGCGTTGTATGTAACCGGCCTACACCCTAAACCCTAAACCCCCCGTAAACCCTAAGCATTAAAACTCTATAGTATAGTCCCTAAATAAAACCCTAAACCCAAACCAAGGCCGTTCCGCTTCTGGAGTAAGCGCTCTCATTCTCATATTCTGCAAGCCGCGACAGCAGAGTCGCGAACGGTTGAAAATTAGGTTCTGACACGGCATACTCCGCGCAAGATCGGCGCAAGCGCGCGCAAGACGACGCGTAAGGTCGCCTGCCCAAAGCCATGGAGGACCCAGCACAACTTCTTGAGCCTTGAAGCCACAGTGTTGTACCTGCAGCCGAAGCTTAGACTCGAAGCCACCAAGCGTCAACAAACCGCAGTAACAAACCCTATAGTCTTAAGAAACCCTCGCGCGCGCAAGCACGCCCAAGGAACGCGCAAGGGCGAAGCGCAAGGTATCCTAATTGGCATGCATGGAACAAGGATATAGAACAACCCTCACATGGATTTAGGATGATTCATGCTGAGATTCTCTAAACTTTACTTTACGGGCATGAGGCTAATGATGTTCCAACTTTCTGGCTTCTACTGTAGAGCCACACTTAGAGGCCCAGCGGACTTAGTACCTAATTGCAGTTGCCCCAATTACAACCCTACTTATAACCTACTTACTAAGTCCCCTGGGCCTCTAACCCTAAGCCCTAAAGCCCATAGATCCCTTTAAGGAACCCTATAGATCCCTATAAGGAGCCCTTTTTACTAAGTCCCCTGGGCCTCCAAGCAGAATTCAGAGTTTAAGGTTTTAGGGTTCACGGAGACCTCCCAGCCCACAGAGCCTCCAGCCAGAGTCGGAGGCATGCCCGACATCCACGCCCTGACCCTAAGGGTCCAAAGGACCCAATACTTTGCCATAGTTGTGTAACATTTTACATTTTTATGGGTACCTAAACCCAATAAGGAATACAAATGTACATTTTTGATCCTATCCCGACCATGAACTAGAATAATCGGGTACTCGGGTTTATGATGGTAGTTTTGTAGGTTATACTATTTTGGCGAGTATATGTTTCTTTGGTACTTAGACCCTTAGGGTGAAGGCCTACTCCGTGAAGACTACATTCTATACTCCACGGGCCTGCGCCAACGTATGGGGCCTGAATAGATCTTAGAATATTGCACAGGCGAAACCCTTTCTAACTGGCACAGATCAACATGAGCTTCGACACTTCCCCAAAAGTCCAAACAATCCAATAATGAGATACTTGAATTCAGGATAGTAGCCATGTAGGTTACTATTCGGGAGAGTATATGATTATTAGGTACTTGGACGCTTGGGGCTTTAGAGCACCGTCAACTCTAAGCCGTACACCCTCAAGCTTTCCTCTCAGGCAGCATGATTGTGTCCTCATGGGCTTTGACTGGCCACGGAGCTCAGCGACACTTTCATCTATAGGAGCCTAGTCAAGAGACCCTGGGTCTTCATAAGGGTTTAGGGTTTAGGGTTTAGGGATTTTGAGGTTGTAGGACCAGAGCT